CCTCGATAATCCATTGTCGTTTAACAGCTTTTGCTTTCTTTAAAAGCAAACTCTCGACCTCCAATAGTCTGTTTTACGTGGCTCTCGGGAGCTGCTGCGTAAGAGGGTTTTATACAAGCCATGAATCTTCAGGGACAACGTGTCCTCCGTAAATCACCGCTTCAATTTAGCGTTTAGCTCAGTGATGATCTGTCAAAACACAAGCACGTGAGCTAAAAGTTTGTAAAAGATGATTGTGCAACAGTTTCCAATTTTCTTCTTGGACAAGCTTAATTGGACTCTTGAGAAAACTGATTTAACAAAGCCTGAAGTGGTTTGCTGGTCTTCATTGGTTTAACCAGCCAACTGAAGCACCACAAACCTCTCTAAAACCTCAAAACAGACTGGCTTAATCAGATCAACCAAGCTGGGAGACCAGCTAAACACTTTAGGCTGGTTTAAGAGGGTTTCTTTTTCTTTTCTTTTTTTTTTACCACAAAAGATCAATAACTTGAACATAAACACAACACCACAATACTTTCTACTACTTCAGAAAAAAGTTGCCATTGTGTAAAGAAAATAGGAAATTAGAAATGTCCACTTTGAAAAGACTATAGTTTAAACTTTTACATTACCATGTAAAAGTTTGATTCCCATAAGATTTTTAAAATATTTTTAGTCTCTTCTGCTCATCAATGCAACATTTAATTGATCAAAATTACAGTAAAAACAGTAAAATTGTGAAATATGTTTAAAATACCTATTTTCTATTGAAATATTTTTCATTCACATTTTCATTTCAATTCACATTTATTTGTATAGCGCTTTTCAAGATACAAATTGTTGCAAAGCAGCTTCATAGAAAATTAAAGTTTCTACATTATATTTAGTAGTAGCTTATCAGTGGTGACCATCTAAAGCTGATGTCCATATGGCAGAAATGTACAGTAAAAATCATGCAGTTAGTTAATGACATGTAATCAAACAGAAGAGAAACAAATAGGGACATAATTAGCGTAGCTGCTGTTCCAACGAAGCAAAATTTATTTGTTTAACCCAAGCTAAAGAATAATAATGTGCATTTGATCAGATATAACTGAAGTACAAGGTTATGAGATACTTTATGTGAATGCTTGGCTGAAGAGATGTGTCTTTAATCTAGATTTAAACAGAGAGAGTGTGTCTGAACCCCGAACGTTATCAGGAAGGCTATTCCAGAGTTTGGGAGCCAAATGCAAAACAGCTCTACCTCCTTTAGTGGACTTTGCTATCCTTTGATATTTTAAGATGTAATTTATTCCTTTGATGGTAAAGCTTGATTTTCATGAGCCATTATGCCAAAATTCAGTGTCTTAAGTATGTGGGAAATTGTTAAATATAATGTTTATTCATAAAATGTACAGTTGTGCTCATAAGTTTACATACCCCTTGCAGAATGTGCAAAATGTTAATAATTGAAACAAAATTGCATTTTTAGGTTTATATAACAAAATGCATGTTATTTTTTATTTAGTACGGTCCTGTATAAGCTATTTCACATAACAGATGTTAACATATACTCCACAAGACAAAATAATAACTGAATTTATAAAAATGACCCCATTCAAAAGTTTACATACCCTTGAATCTTAATACTATGTGTCATTTCCTGGATGATCCACGACTGTTTTTATATTTTGTGATAGTTGTTCATGAGTCCCTTGTTGGTCCTGAGCAGTTCAACTGCCTGCTGTTCTTCAGAAAA